GCAGTACCGGGTTTCCCGGTAATCCTCCAACAACGCGACCCAGTTTTTCCTCATAAAAATGCGTTCCTCTTCGCCTCGAAAAACCGTCATTTCCCTTCTCAATTGCAATAGCACCCTGCGATATACAACGGAGCTTTTTAAATTGTTTCTTCTTGAAGAGTCTCCATGGAAACCAGTCCCAAGAGGAAGGCCAAGTGCTCTGTTCTTCAACGTGATTGCAACGTCGAGGAGAATCAAGAAATGGGTTTTGATTCTGGCGTCGGTGTTGGTGCCGTTGCTGTGGGGAATCTAGAAATGGTTGATTCTTTGTGTGTAAAGGGTTCTGTTCCTGGTTCGATTTTTGGGTCTTTTACGGGGAAGGTTGAGAATTTTGGTGAGCCATTGCTCGGCGCTGACACTAAGCAGGTGGGTTTTGGGGTTTCTTCTCCAAAAGACGGGCAAGAAACCATGCAAACCAGTCCCAAGAAGAAGTTCAAGAGCTCTGTTCTTCATCCTGATTGTAACGTTGCTCAGAATCAAGAAGTGGGTTTTGAAAGTGCCGCTTTTTCTGATGTAATTTCTAGGTCTTCTGTGGGAAAGGTTGAGAATTTCAGCGAGGCATTCCACGAGGCTGATACAAAGCGGATGGGCTTGGGGGTTTCTTCTCCAAGAGAGATGGAAGAAATCGTGGATATCAGTTCCAAGATGAAGTTCAAGTGCTCTGTTCGTCAACCTGGTCGCAGCGTTGAAGAGAATCAAGCAATAAGTTTTGATTCTGATGCCGGTGTTGGCTTGATTTCTGAGGGGAATCAAGAAATGGTTGGTTCTTTGTATGAAAAGACCCCCCTTCCTGATTCGTTTTCTGGGTCTTCTGCGGGAGTGGTTGTGAGTTTCGGTGAGCCATTGGTGGGCGCTGATGCTAAACGGATGGATTTTGTCACTGTTGCTCAGAAAGAAGATTTGCTTTCAGGTTCTGCTGAGAAACGTAAACTGGTTGTCTCTGAATTTCAAGAATCTGCTAACGAAGGCAATTTGGGGTTGTCAGGGAAGTGCATTTGCGACAATTTGAGTACTTCTTTAGATTTTGGTGATGCTAAGGGTACTGTTAATGAAAAAGATGTGGAAGACGATAATTTCTTGGAAGTTGAAAAGAAGCGAATATTGGCTGAGCTTGAAGCTGGAACTATCTTTGGGGGCAAAACCGATATCAAGAAAGTTACTGGTTTTGCAAACTCCTCCAAGATTGATGAGAAGGGAAGTGATTTTCAAGAAATGAACCGAGAGGGGAAGATAGATGGTGAGAAGATACTTGCTACCAAAGGAAATGATGCCTCTCTTAATCGTTCTCTGAAGATTGAAGTAATAGATGATACAGCTTTGATTGAAACCATGCCAGTACTCAAGACTGGAAATGAGTGTGTAAAGGTTGTGGGAATAGCTGGTTCTGCAAAAAATACAGAGAAGAATGGTAAACAAGAAGCTCATGGCAAAAAGGCAAAACAAGCACGAGGAAAGCCAAAGTATGTGAAAAATGTTTTAGGGGCATCAGAGGGGCATATGAATCCTTCACGCTTCTTGCAAGTTGACAATGGTGTGTGGAAGAATGGAAATCCTACTAAGAAGATGTACTCCAGGGAGGAGATGGAGGCTTTGAGGTTTGTTGATATTGTAGAGCAGAGAAAGTTGTGGAGTAATATCCATACTGGACTTGGGGCAGCTGTGATGAGAGAGTATCACGACTTGACCAGCTCAAAGCATCAAAAGAGTATCCATTTGAATTTTGGTCTTAGTCAACGCTTTGAAAGAATGAAAGAGCCCCCTGCAATGATCAGTATGTATCTAAGTTTTCTGCATGTTTCTGTTTTCATAATGTAAATGCCTGTTTTTATTTTTTGCACTTCCTGCTTATTTCTTTTGTTCTAATTGACATACTTATAATGCTTTTGAACTGCAAATCAACCATTAGACTGTGTTCTTTGATTGGTTTATTATTGTATGCTGTTCTAATTTTACTTGATTCATTTTAGGATTGTATGTCTCATTTCTAAGTAGGTTATAAGTTCTTTCTATATGGAATTTTTATTTTGATCTTGGCAGGTACTTAGTAAGTCTAACATACTATACATGATAACATGATATATCATATGCTGTGGCTTTTGAAAATGATTTAATTGTTTCTGTTCTTACATCAAATTAAGCTTTGGTGAATATACCTAATATGAATAATTGGCACCCATTTGGAGTGAATTTATTTATTTCTTCTTGATGTGTAGGTAAAATACTTAAATACCTCAGATAGCTGATTTTTTTGGACTCTTTGTGTCTTGAATGTGCTTTTGAAAATGTATTTTTCTTTTATTTCCCTTTTATAATGTATCAGGGTTATTAGTTTTCTTATATTTTAAGATTGCATATGGTAAAGAAGTAAAGGTTTATGCCTTCCCTCACAAAAGTATGATTCATAGTTGAGTTGTTCATGGTCTTTTTCCTTTCAAATTCCATTAGAGAACAATTACCTGGATTCCATTTTGAGGCTTCTATTTGTGCTAGGGTTGCTTAACCATTTTGTGAAGGAATGAACCCATGTTGTTACACAGTGAAGTTTTCAAATCATTCTTTTTTTGATTTTTTCTCAACTTGTTACATAAAGTTCGCCACCAAGGAGATTTTTAGTATGTTGAAATGAGAAACTAGCATCTTTTTTGAAATTCTTACCCTTCTTAGTCATGAGCCTATGTCTGACTGCTGAAGTGTAAACTATCACTGCTTTTTACTTGGATTATTTGAAGGTGCTATGTTTGATTTGATCAACTTAAAAGTCAAGAACCTAGAAAATTGCAATTTACCTTTTTGGTCAAACTGATGAATTGATGCCTCTCTTTGAGTATTCCTGTATTGGAATCCAACTCAAGAAAGCACTTGGTTCAGTTTCTGCAGTTATCAATTTTAATTGTCTTTTGTTATTATTTCATTTTGAAAAGCCCACTTCTTGTCTATGGCTTTGCCTTGTAATTTCTCTGTATTTTTGGCTCTTGGTTTTGGTTACCATTTTCTGTGTGTCCATGTGTGAACATTTGTTTGTCCAAGTTTTATTTCTGGTTCTTTTTTGAAAATAGAAGTGGTGTTTTTTTCTTTTTTAATGATTGGTTTAGGCATTCTGAACCATTTCCTTTCACCAGTTTCCTCTTGGAATCAGAGTCATATGGTGTCAATTTGATGGGTTCATTTCTGTTGTCACAGGTGTGTTCAATGCAAGGGGAACAAGGAATAATCCAAATATCTTTGTACATTGAAGAATGCCAGATGCAATCTGCAAAGTTGCAACAAAATCATTGCAGTTTTTTCCTTAGGCACTTTATGTCTGTTTGCATACTACTTGTATACAGTAGTTGTACATGAGAATCTTTCTCAGGCTTGTCTAGATTGTAATTTGTGGAGACACATTCGTCATGGAAATGATCTTTTACATTCTTTTTTAATGAAAAACTAATAAAATTTCATACTTCAGTGCAATGGAATTCTTGAATGGTTTGAATGTGAGTTGAAACAGATTTTATTATCTGTCTGCTATACTTGCATGTATGTCAAGTTTTCATCTTTCTTTTGGCTTCTTTAAGATTTTTAACCACATAAGCACTTCTAAATTTCCTATCATTTCAGGGGGAGAATATTTTGGAAACATGGATGGTGCAATGGAAAATATGGAGGTTTGCGAAACTGAAAGTATAGATCCTTCTGATGATGCTTGTACTCTTGATTATGGTGATGAAGACTCCTTAGTAGCTGTAGAAGGAGAATGTAGTGAAGATGATGATAGTGATGAAGATTATAACAGCATTCTTAAACCTGCTTTCTTGGTAGAAGGTGAACCCGATTTTGATTCTGGTCCACCACATGATGGATTAGAATACCTTAGGCGTGTAAGGTATTGCCCTTCAACCCTTATTTATTCATCAAATGATGTTTTTCAATTTTTGGTAATTTAGTTGCAATGCTATTTCACATTTTTACATCTCTCCTTTTTTCTGGAGTGCATTTTAGTACTTTATAGACCTTCATAAATGTTAAGGGGAAATGTAAAAAATAAAAAAAATGAATAAAAGAACCTTGTGGTTAGTCCAATTTCACTTTGATACCCTGTGATTTTGATTAACTACTAAGATTAATGAAATTATCTTCTCCTCACCATATTCCCTTTAAATGGCACATGTTTTCATTTATGATAGATTAATCACCTAGGGGAAAATCAGGATTGATTACTATTATT